TTGCTTTTACGCCAAACATAACGTTTTGCATTGTTGCCAAAAAGTTCGATTTTGGTTTCATCTGACCAGAGCACCTTCTTCCACATGTTTGGTGTGTCTCCCAGGTGGCTTGTGGCAAACTTTAAATGACACTTTTTATGGATATCTTTAAGAAATGGCTTTCTTCTTGCCACTCTTCCATAAAGGCCAGATTTGTGCAGTATACGACTGATTGTTGTCCTATGGACAGAGTCTCCGACCTCAGCTGTAGATCTCTGCAGTTAATCCCGAGTGATCATGGGCCTCTTGGCTGCCTCTCTGATCAGTCTTCTCCTTGTATGAGCTGAAAGTTTAGAGGGACGGTCAGGTCTTGGTAGATTTGCAGTGGTCTGATACTCCTTCCATTTCAATATTATTGCTTGCACAGTGCTCCTTGGGATGTTTAAAGCTTGGGAAATCTTTTTGTATCCAAATCCGGCTTTAAACTTCTCCACAACAGTATCTCGGACCTGCCTGGTGTGTTCCTTGTTCTTCATGATGCTCTCTGCGCTTTAAACGGACCTCTGAGACTATCACAGTGCAGGTGCATTTATACGGAGACTTGATTCCACACAGGTGGATTCTATTTATCATCCTTTGTCATTTAGGTCAACATTGGATCATTCAGAGATCCTCACTGAACTTCTGGAGAGAGTTTGCTGCACTGAAAGTAAAGGGGCTGAATAATTTTGCACGCCCAATTTTTCAGTTTTTTATTTGTTAAAAAAGTTTGAAATATCCAATAAATTTCGTTCCACTTCATGATTGTGTCCCACTTGTTGTTGATTCTTCACAAAAAAATTACAGTTTTAAATCTTTATGTTTGAAGCCTGAAATGTGGCAAAAGGTCGCAAAGTTCAAGGGGGCCGAATACTTTCGCAAGGCACTGTATAATGCATTACAGTAGTCAAGTCTAGAGGTTATGAAAGCATGAATTGCAATCTCAAAATCTTTAAAAGAAAGAAATGACTTGATTTTACTGAACAAACTCAAGTGAAAGAAACTAGATTTTATGACTGAGTTGATCTGCTTGTCAGACATTGTCAAACATTACCCCTAGGTTTTTTACAGTCATCTTCAAATGATGAGCCAAGGGGCCTAAGGCAGCACGTTTTGCCAGATCGCCAAATAAAACAGTTTTATCATTTAATTTTAAAAAGCTCCGCACGAGTCATGCTTTCAGGTCTGTCAAAACAGTCAAACAATGGCTGTAGAGACATCCTTCCGGCTGCTTTTAATGGTAAATATGATGTAATCCGCATAACAATGAAAGGAGAAGTCATATTTCCTTAGCACTGATCCCAGCGGAAGCATGTACAAGGAAAAGAGAGTTGGGCTGAGTACAAACCCTTGGGGGACACCACAGGAGAGGATAGTTGAGGAGGAGGAACATTTACCAATATTAACAGAAAAACTTCTATTTGTGAGATAAGATCTAAACCAGTTAAAAGTAGAGTAGAGTGGAGTAGAGTAGGTACTTTATTGATCCCACAGTGGGGAAATTTCTGTGTTACAGCAGCAATAGACAACAACCACCATAAGAACAGGACTTCATAAAAACATGAAAAAGAATACAACGAGGACACAGCTGCTGTAACTTGCTGCCACTCTGCGCGGCGCAACAAAGAACACTTAGTCTTAAAATATACAGTTACATAAAGGCAACAAAGCGTTAGAACTGATACACACAAGTAGCATCATCAGAATGTTACATTTTACACAGCACAAAAAAAGCAAATCAAAGGCACCTAAAAACAGGGCAAAGCAGCACTGGAGAGAATCAGGAACAGCAGTAGAGACTAAACAACCAGGAAATCAAGAACAATCGAATATTACTCGCACAATAATTAATCCCACAATGGGGGAGAGATTAAGAACAGTACCTTGAATTCCTACACATTGCTCCAAGCGAGATGAGGGGATTCAGAACTAGATCCCCAGCATCCCTAGCCAAAATATCATTATTAATTTTTAATAACACTGACTCATTGTTTTGATGTAAACCCAGACTGAAATTGCTCCTCAATGCCGTTATCTGCCAGAACGTGCCAGTGCATTGTTTGCACTGTTGCTTGTTAATACTGCTTATTTTGTTATTACACAGCCTTATGCTGCTTTACTGTTTACTTGCCCCTTGCATGGGGATATATACATACACACTGAGAGCTGATGTACCAGAGTGAAATTCCTTGTGTGTCCGACACACCTGGCCAATAAAGCAGATTCTGATTCTGATGATATGATAATAAAATATTGTCTTAAAAATTAAAAATATCTCATATGTTGTTTTACCTTTTAATTTCTTAGCAGCTATGTCACAACATGGTGGTTTCTTATAACTGAATGAATGTCCTACATGATGAGGAGACCCACTAGATGACAGCTGAAAAATGCTGTTCTGCCACAAAAATGTTTCAGTCAAAGAAGAAATTATCAGTAATTGTGATCCTTTCCTTTTCTGACAGAAACATGCAGTAGAGCAGTTTGTCCAGCAATGTTTGAGGGTGTGCAAATGACTGCAATATATTAGTTTCTGT